GATTAAAACGATGATAGAACTCATAAATAGGATTATCATTGTATTATTCCCAAAATAAGATTCATTCTCTCCTATTTTGGAAATTTTTATCAACTTGTTGTTTTAGTAGGACTAAGTAAATCCTAGTGGGAGAATAAAACATATTTAGTCATATTTTTGTGCTTTGTATATGTTTTGATCCTATATTGAGCAATTTCTATAAATATTTCATAATCGTGTTCAACTCTTTACATACTTTATACTCCATAATAAAACCATAGTTTTATTTACTCTATCAATCCCTTAAAACTTTGTCAACTTTCCTTTTTGGACGTCTCATTAACTCTGTTACTTTCTTATTTAAGCAAAGAATTTGTGGATCCAGTTAATTCTCTCTCCTCTGCACAAACCTCAACCACACAGTTTTTACTTTATTAATCCTCGTGCCGGTCAAACTTGGCAAAGTTATTAGGGGCAGAGGGAGTATAATACAAGTATAAAAACAAAAATAAAAATGATGTCATCTCTAACTACATCCGCCTTCAAACACTAACACCGTCGACCAGCGGAAAAAATGGCATCTTGTTATAGGAATGCAGAATGATATCCTCTATCAATAATAACTCCAATCGATTCAACCAAAAAATAACTTTAACGTCACTCGCTTTGATTATTATACAATTTAGTATACAAAAAAATATGTGTTTGATGAAAAAATGGCTGATAAAGATGATAAGTCGGTCACCAAACGGCCAAGCGGGAATGGCTGATAAATGTTTCATTTCCTCTTTGAGGAATAACTCATCTCACAATACTAAAAACTTATAGTTTTCAAACACTTGGGTGGCTCAATTGTTTGTACTCTGTATACATGCATTTTCATTTTTATATAGATAATTACAAAAGTGGATATAAGAATGGATATATGCATTTATAAGAATAGGTAAAAACAATTTTTTTTTTGTTTTTTTAATTGCGCGAAACTCTTATTGGGATGAATAATCAGGAATTGAGGGAATAATAAAAAAAGGTACTCCCTCCGTCCCTAAAAGAACTTCCAACTTTTCCTTTTCGTCCGCTCCAAAAAGAACTTCACTTTCCCTTTTTGGCAAAAAATTTGTGGTTCGCAACATTTCTCTTTCCACTGCACAACTCTCCACCACACAATTCTCACTTTCTTAATCAGTGTGCCACTTTATTTTGGAACAACATTTTGGATTGCATTGCAAAATGAAAGCACCCACCCGTGAAAGCACTTATTGTTGGACACTGATTTGCATAATGTGCTGTTGATTCGTTCCTTTAATGTTGATGTGATGTTGGAGGATTTGCATTGCAGTTTGAATATGTTGATTCGTTCCTTTAATCCACACCCACCCGTGAAAGCACTTATTGTTGGACACTGATTTCCGAGTACGTTGGTCGGTGGATATGATTCATGGACTACGTCTCTTTGGTCCAACATGATGCTGAGGATCAAGAGACTAGACTTGTCAAAACAGAACAATCAAAATAGCATAATGTGCTTATACATAATAAGACAATTTACATTTATTTTTTGGAATATATAAGACAATATACATCATAACCGAAAATTGTCCATTTCCTTTCGATCTCCTCCAAATTCTTTCATAGTCTTGTCTTATCCATAGTTCCAAACAAAAGAAATGCACAATATATATCTATCAATGGAAAAGGTTTTTTTAAATATTACTCCGTACTGAAATAAGCCTTAATTATAATAAAAAATATAATTGAAAGTCATTATAGTGTATTGTCATAATGTCATGGTCAATTTGACTGTATAAATTGAAAACAAGTTTCTATGGTTTTTTTTATCGAAACAAATTACTGTGATTGAAAATACTACTCCGTACTATAATCACTACACTTAAGAGGTTATATTTTTATATAAAAAATCTTTATCGAAGTCAAAAATAAGTAATTATTTCTTAACGAAATCCATATGTTTTTATCATTGCGGTAGCTCCGAATGGCAAATTTTGGGGGAAAACTTATTAGGAGAGTAAAAGACACTACTTATTGTCAGCGTATTAAGAATGCATCTTATCTAGCTTATACAAATACATCAGTCTCGTCAAGGACTCAAGGACTCAAGGCTGGCTCATACAACTAGTTCCTTGATCGCCCATGTTGGACCAAGGGCTTTGGGGTCGGCCCGAAGCTTGGGAAGCCGGTCCGACCTGATGTACTGACCTGCTCATCAAGCATAACTTATAATCATTATCAAACAACACTAGGCGGTCGGATGTGGTATGGTGCACTTTGTTTTTTTTTTTGTCGTGATTGGTCAAGTTAAGTAGATGGGATGAGGTGTAAGGGTGTTCATCCTAATAAGCGGTTATCTTAACGAGTTGTCAATACCGGACTTAGTCAGTAGGTTTAACTAGCATAATAAATTGGTGGATGTCAGAAGATATTTGATAATTTGGTTGTTTGGTCATGACAATTACTAGAAAATGACGAGCCTGTTTTGTAGCATGAAAATTGACTAATTTGGTTGATTCTACTGAAATTTATGAAGTTCTGGCTGAAGTGGCTGCATTGATCGATTCTGTTGATTTAAGGAAAAAACTATTTTTAAAATATATTTTATTAATAAAATATAGAAAAAATTATATGCAAAAATAGCTAAAATGGTCATCTACAGTAAGTTCAGCCAATACAGCCCGAAAAATAACTTGAACCTTACTTTTCTTCTTATTACACATTTCAGTGCGAGAAAGCATAAGTTACATGTTTGGTGAAAAAGTTGGCTCATAAACTTGATAAGATGAAAAACAGTGTTGCCAAACGGTCTCGACGTGTTTCAAAAGCTAACTCAAAACTCTCCTATTTGCAATGTTTTCGTTTTAGCGATTACGTTAAAAACGATAAAGCCGAACGAACAACTATTTACCCAACAACGTTTTCACTTATTGAAAACGCTAATAGATGTCAAACCGCCATTTTTTGCTGAAGCGTCATTCTTCAAATACCCTATACATATGTCCTTATATAAATTAAAGTAATATATCTGGTTAGTATTCAATGGTTAATTAATATACGTATTAGTTTTTAATCTTTTGTTTTATATTTCCAGCTTTTATTTAATTTGATTCTTTTGTGGCTTCAAAAACTTTTAATTTACTATCTAAATATGTAATTTTATTTACAAAAACTAATCCGAGTAATCACATGGATTGATTAAATTTACCCTCAAAGTTCGTAAATCGAATGGGTGCCTTTTCAAGGAACCGAGGGAATATTATATTCCGTATTTTATATAAGTGTGAAGTAAACATAAAATCACTTCATTTATAAACAATTGGATCGATCGTTCACACAGTTACACTTGAAAAACAATCTTATTTAATTTACACTATTTTAGTATTAGTCTTTTAGATTAGATTTACACTACAAATAAAAACAATTACTTTCTTGGTGTATGAATGCATACACAATATTAGACGCCTCTTCAAATGCTCTCGCACACTTCTACTACAGTTCTACGATTCTACCACACTAGACCTGCACAAAACCGGGCCGGCCCGCCCAGCCCGCCCAACCGGCCCGCACAAATGGGCGGGCTTGGGCATATATATTTACCCACCGGGCCGGGCCGGGCCGGGCCCGGCCCGCAATAACATATGGGCGGGCTTGGATTAAGGTGTAGGCCCGTTCGGGCCGATAAGCCCGGCCCGCTACATTTTATATATATATATATATATATATATATAATTTATTTACATGTACATTTATATTTTTTAATATAACTTATCTTTATACATATTTATAGTTTATTATGTTTAAATTTAGGTTTTTAGATCTGAACCACTAGCCCAACTAATATAGTATCTATTTTTGTACTTAAAGATAATACTTTGTGCTTGAATTTTAAATTTTAGATATAGTTTCTCATTATTATTTTTGTGTAAGTATTATTTTTGTATGTGGTGAAAGACCTATAAACATTACACGCATATTAACAATTTTTTAAATGTTGTAATATTAGTTTTAAAGTATTAAAAAAAATCGAAAAATATAAAGTTTTTCCGGGCCCGGAGGCCCGGTGGACTACCCGGCCTGCTCTTATGGGCGGGTATGGACATGGGGTTAGGCCCGTTTTTGCGGGCCGGGCCCGCCCACATATGATGGGCAAAAAAATTATAAAAAGCCCGGCCCGAGCCCGGCCCGAACCCGTTTTTGTGCAGGTCTAACCACACATCACATATGTTGACATGTTGTGAACCTAACATATCAAGAAAAGGGTCAAATAGAAGGTCACACAAGGTCATCCGATTGCTTATTTTGAAATCGTCACAAAAGGTCATGTACTCAATAAAGTTCATACGATCATATAAGTACACCTGTTTATAAAAAGCAATCGAATGAGTCCTAGTGACCCGTTGACAACCTCTAAACCATGACTTTAGCTCACATGTAATTTTTATCTTGTATTTAAGTCAATCATAACTAAATATTGCACGTCAATCATATACTCTATATTAAAAAGATATAAAGACGTAATCTAAAACTGGGATTACGAGGTTGTCAAAAGGTCATTTTGACTCATTCGATTGCTTTTTATAAATAGACGTATTTATATGACACTTTATTGAGTACATGGTCTTATGTGATGATTTCATGATAGTAGAAAGCCTTATTTGGAAATATATATATATATATATATATATATATATATATATATATATATATATATATATATATATATATATATATATATATGAGGAGTGATCAGGTCCAGCCGGAGGGACGGGAGGCGCCGTCCGAACTCGACCGTTTGAGGCGGTTCCCGGTGGAATTTTTTGATGAAATTTTTTGAGCATGTTCCTCATCAAGTCTAGTTTGTCCATACCAAATTTCAGCTCAAAATTTGATCGGGAAGACATTCAAATCATTTTTTGAAATTGACTGCGTCAAAATATACATATAAAAAGGCATTACCATTTATTTAGTCATGGTATTCTACAGTTTATAATGACTCCATCCATAGTCAAGTCTTCCATGCTTCCTTTGCAAAAACACAAAAGTCTTCCATGCTTCCACCATATGCATATTTCTTCCTACAATCCAGAGGATATTTGTATGCCCTTCCAGTCTCGCCCACCACCAGTCCACAGTCCACACACAGCCCCTCTCCTCCGCCAAAGAACCACCGTCTCCTTCCCCACCCGGCGGCCTCCAAAGCCAATAAATCCACCCTGAAAGCGCAAACCCGTATTAATTCTATTCCTGAAATTGCTCAATTTCCGATATGGGCAACTGCTGTGTAAGCTCCGGCGTCAAACTGCCTCCACATTCTCATTCGGCGGCGAACTCCAACCGGGGAGCCTCTGCCCTCAGCCACCCGTTGCCGGAGGAGGAAACCGTTAAGGAGGTTCTCTCTGAAACTCAAAACCTCTCCAAGCCCACATTCCCCATCGACTACGGGCCCTGTAAACACCCACTACTCACCGAAGATCAGGAGAAGCGCCTAGACGACGTCGTTCCCAAGAAGCCCGCCGCCGCAGCGGATTTGAAGTCCGAGGATCTATCCGGGGATTTCTCCGCCTCTGAGATCTGCAGCACTATCAGCGAGAGCGTTCCCATCATCACGGTGACGGAAAAAATGGGTCTTGGAGATGAAGTCCGGCAGAGGTCCCCGGCGAAAGTACGGAACCGGCCGTTTCTTGAAGAGGCGAAAAGATCGAGGTCGGCCGGTAGGTCGCCGTCGAGGATATCCCAGCCGTCTCCGGCGAAATTCAGGGCAGGTGGAGGGCGGGATTCTCCCGGCCGTTCCCCGGCAAGCGTGAAAAGGAGAAACAACTATGAAAGGATTGGACGGAGGTCGGTTTCTCCTGCGACGAGGACGGAAGACGGTGGTCCGGGATGGACCCCATCAATGAGGAAATCTGGGAAGTCACCGGGTCGGGTCAGATCAGATATCAGTGACACGACCCGAATGTTGGGGAAAAGCTTTACCAGTAAAAATAATAAGGCCGACAGTAAAGAAAAGATGAAAACAACAGATACTCATGAATTGCTGGAAAATCCGCTGGTATCTCTGGAATGCTTCATTTTCTTATAAATAAAGTTTGACAACTTGAACTTATTTCAGCATAAAATGGGGTGATTTTGGCCTTTTCTTTTGGGGTAAAGTTTATACCCAAAATGTAAGTGTTAATTACACGGAAAGATAATACTCCGGTCTCCGGGGTATGTAATTATGTACTATTGTAGTCTTCCCATGTGTTTATTGTTAATAAAAAACAGCACACAATTATTAATTATTAACTACATATTGTAATGTGATTCATATGGGGAAAGATCAGTTCTCATGTGCACATGATGTTATTTATTACAAGTGTGTACCTAATTATTACGTACTCATATGTACTGATGTATACAAAACCAGCTCTATTTATTCATACCTATGATATCTCTCTCATTAAACTTTAATGAATTTACTCCGTACTATTTTTGTAATCAATATAATCATATGGTGAAATTTATTTCAATAATCCTATTTGTATTTTAGGTGTTTTGCAATAATAATCCGTACTACAGAAATTTACACAAGTAATTCAAACTTGTAAAGTTGTGCACATACATAATTAAGTGAAATGGGTCTAATAGTTCTCTTTGATATTTCTTTCATCTAGGTTCACACCTTGCCTACCATACATCTTCTCTTTGTGCCCAAACCTCCCCATCTCACACACGGACACACCCTTCTTCTACTCCTTTGAGTTGACTTTTCTCATCTTAATCAAAAGTTTTAATTTGATCTTCCTCCCACCCCCATACAAAAATACCGAACACACTCTTCTCCTGTCCGCACTTCTTTGTTATGAGGCAGCGCTCAGTCCATGCAATTTTTGACGCGATTTTCACTATGAGTTATTCGGAAATAGTCTCTCTGTGCTTTAGTACAAGGGTAAGACTGCGTATATTCGACCTTTCTTACCCCACCGTAGGTGGGAGACTTTGCGGCACTGGTGTAATGATAATGATGACTCTTCTCCTCTTTAATAAGTATGTCATCTTAATCAAAATATTTAATAATCGCCACACTTTGTTCATTATTTTGAAACCACAAGATACAATTGAGATATGATAATTAAGAGAGGGTGGAGTGTTTGGGGACTAGTTAAAGCCTACTAATTTGGTCCTTTAAGATCAAACTAATTTCTTTAGGATTAGTTTATATTTGTGGGAGAATGAAAAGTTTAAAAAAGAGTGGGACAAAATGCCACTTGGGAACAATTTTTTTGGGTAAAATCTGTGAATTTAGAATGAAAAAAATGCGTTAGAGGCTGATGGTAGAAGGGAACAAGGGGTAGAAGAAAAGGTATGTGCCATGTTGTTTTATCTTGGGTTTTCATTGCTATTGTGCATCCATTTTGGGTGTTTGGATGAAACACTTTGGTCTCATTGGGTTCTAATTTTGATCTTATATTGTCCTATTTCTTTCATATGGTAATGTTTATATATCTACAATATTGATTTAAATAAGTTTAGCAAGAAATTGCAGGTTTAGGTGGATGAATTCTTCATGGGATCGGAACATGAATTACAACCAGTTTATTTGTAATTGTATAACGAAAAAGGGTCAAATACATTCTTGGTACAATGATAATATAACTTAGTGGCTGGACGATAATAGGAAATTGAATTCTTAAAATTCAACTCTTGCCTAATATATACATTCTTCCGCATTAATACCAATATTATAATGATGATATATGAGCTGCTTAATTATGACCAAAAAAGAATCTTCAACAGAAAGAAACGCAAATTAAGCCTGGAGCAATTACGAAGAGGAGGTTAACATAGAGAAGGGCAAATGTATTTTAGCTTGGAGCAATTGACAGAAAGAAGAGCAATACATTTGCAACAATTACAGCAACATGGAATGCTTGGAATTACCGCAGAATAGAAGTCCGGAAGATAGAGGAGGAAGTCTGCGAATGTTTGCTCATCATATAGAAATTCAACAAATAACTTTATAAAGATGGAATTGGAATGAAAAGAAAAGCAAGTAGCTGTGGTGAAGATGGAGCGGCCAAATGGAGGAGAGACCAACCAGAAAGAAAAATAAAATAAAAGTATACTTCAAGAGTAAGAACAAAGAAAATACCTTGTACATTACCTAGAGACCGGCTCGAAGAGGTAAACTTCCAATAATTTTGTTTACATAATGGTTTCTTAAAGTACATGAGTTTATATGATCATTTTTAATACATAGGTTTAACTGTTTAAGTGATGGATCCATCATTGCACAAGTGTGTGTTTGATCTTTTTCCATTATATAATAATGAAACAATTTCAAGAATGGTGTAATATTACTCAATAATTTATACATATTCAATACTGAATAAAAGTTGCAGGTGTCACATTTGTGTTACTGATATTATTGGTTCAAATTGCAAGCATTTCAAATAAGTTTAAATACCGAAAAATACTCCCTCCGTCATGTTGGGATGTTCCCGGTTTGACCTACACACATATCAAGGAAATAAAGTTACCAGGGGGTAAATTTTACTTTTTTGACACTGTTTGGAAACTGTTTGACATTGTTTTGCACTGTTTGACACTGTTTTGATGTAGGATAACTTTCCATTTAAGAAATGAGAACTTCTTTTTGGGACTGCTAAAAAGGGAAAGCAGGAACATCCTAACAGGACGGAGGTAGTATAAGAATTTCATGTTAAATTTGGGACATGGTTGACCATGGTTTACACTGTTTGAAGAAATGAGAATTGGCTAAAATTTATGAAATTATGACTGAATTGGTTGATTTTGTTGATTTATAAAAAAATTATATTTAAAATATATTTTATTAGTAAAATAAAGAAAAACATTATATGTACTAAAATGATCCTTTTCAGCAACTCCAATCATTATAGTCAGAAAAGTAACTCGAACCTTACCTTTTCTTATCATTACACAATCAGCGCGCATAATCAAGAATTACATGTTTGGTGAAAAAGAACCTATTTGGTGACCCTGTTTTTCGACTTATAGTAAAATTCGGTTTTTATTGTTATTTGCATTTCCGTTGAAATCTTCACATCTAGGATGTTTTTATTTGGATTGAATTTTTCTAGTATGATCTAGTATGGTCTGAACTGATCTGGTTTGATCTAGACTGGACTGGTAGATGTCTGGTCTCTGTGGAGAAAACAGGCAAATAAACCCACAAACTATTTGCGTTTTTGCAATCAGGCCCCTGAACCGGAAGAAGTACAAATACACCCCTCAACTCATTGAAAATCAATCAATCAGGTCCTTTTTACCCGCGGGTGCAGGTGAGGAGATGAGAAACTACTGACACAAGCGGGTAAAAGAGGACCTGATTGTTTGATTTTCAATGAGTTGAGGGGTGCATTTGTACTTCTTGCGGTTCAGGGGGCTGATTGCAAAAACGCAAATAGTTCGATGGCTTATTGGCTTGTTTTCTCGGTCTCTGTGTATTTTATAACTATTCAAGTCTAGTCTGATCTTGTATGGTCTGAGACGGTAAACAATCAAGGTAAACAATCAAAGTAAAAATATCCTTAGTTCACATTCCACATTGATATTTTGTTTGTGGATTTTATGTTGAATTATCCTATTAAAAACTCAATAGCTGTTTTATTATTATTTTCTTTTCTTATAAAACTACCAATTGAACTGTATCAACTATCAAGCACTACCAAACAACACATACGTCCAAAATAATTAACATAATCCTTGGATACAAACAGTTGATGAGTTTCAACAAGACATAAATTTATATTTTCCATTTCCAATTGATCGACACCTTCAATCATGATCTTAATTTACCTAGAGTTTTTATAAGACATACACTCAATTTCAAAATCTCCAACTTAAATGCACTCACACACTCACATGCACTCCATATTATTAGGTACATAAAAAAGTGTACAACTCTACTTTCTACGTACAGATGGATTATTAAGTATACACTACATACGGTTTGGAAGTTGAACTAGTGCCGTATGCAATTTTTAGAGTAACGGATACTGCTATCACTTGGATCAAAGCAGTAACGGATACTGCAATTTTTAAATAGCAACGGATGTTGCGTGCAGTTAATTTAAGGGATTTTTTCGCAAATAGACAAACATACGAAAGTAATATCACTTTTGTCACTGTTAAAAATTCTTTTCAAAAATGGATCGATTAACCTTTTTCTTTCAAAAATAGGCTATGTGCATATAAACCCCGTATACTGGAAGTGAGGAATCGTGCGGCCAGTAGCAGGGATATTTATTTGAGCAGAAGGCCAGCATGTACGGGTGATGATGCCTGACTCTTCATACATCCACGTTGTTAATTTTTTTTAAAGGACTCATGTTAAATTTATTATACAAACTCAAGAATTACTCAATTACATGGTTTTATATAGAAAAAGTGTAAATATTTAGTAAAATGTAAAAAGATGAAGGTAATTAGAATATACTCCGTATGGAGTAATCCAAGTATTAAAAATAAGATATAAAAAATTAAGAAATCAAATCATATGGAATAAAAAACTGAGTTTGAAAAATGTTAATCAAGAAATATATAGAAAATTCGACAATACAAAACTCAAAAGTAAGAATAAGAAAAATAATCAAAGAATGCATAGCCCCTTAATTTGTATAAAAAGCACGTATAAAACAATAAAAATATGCAGACCAAATAATTGAAATTTTTATAAAATAAATAAAAATTCAAATTGAAAATACATAATTAAAAAATAAAAAAAATAATCAAAACATGAAAAAAACTCTGAAATATTTAGAATCTTAAAAAATGATTAAACTTAAAAAATGGTATTAAAAATATTAAAAATTATGGTACAACATTATAAACTTTTTATGAAACAGTTATTATTTTAGAAACTGATATATATTAAAAAGTATTAATTTTTTAAATTTGATAAATAATTATATAAATTTGAAAAATGTTTAAAAATCGAATTAAATTCTACAGTACAAAATAAAAATAAATAAATCATTCTTTTCAAAAAAGTAAAAAGAAGAAAATGTATTTAGACTAACAAGATCGAATGGAAAATATAAAACTTAAAAATAAAAATGTGAAAACTGAAAATAAATTCAAAACAAAATTAAACATTGAAACAATTGAAATAATTTAAAAATATAAATTTCGTAATTTTTTTTAAAATAGTTACAAATTTAACAATTCTTATTATATACTTTTGGTGTTTGCTTTTTGTTGCCCATTGTTTCTTTTTGTTTCATTTTGTTTTATAGCTCTGATTTTTTTTTGTTATTTATTGTTTATTTATGTTTCCTCTGATTGGTTTATATTC